CATTGGGATTGTGTAATCTAGTGTGGTCGAGAGCATTGGTGAAAACGTGGACGGATTTAAACAAGGCGACATCGTTTTGCCAGTGTTTCATCCTCAGTGTGAAGAATGCAAAGACTGCAAGTCCTCAAAGAGCAACTGGTGTGCAAGATTTGCAGACGATTTCTTATCGAACACAAGACGATATGGAATGGCTTCAAGATTCAAAGACTCTTCAGGACAAGATATTCACCATTTAATCTTTGTCTCGAGTTTTTCCGAATACACCGTCGTTGACATGGCGCATTTGGTCAAGATTTGTCGTGACATTCCCGTCGATAAAGCGGCTTTGCTGAGCTGCGGTGTCTCCACAGGTTATCTACATTCTTTTTGTTAGTAGGGTTTGTATAGAAATTTTAAATATAACCGGGGTCAAAACATAAACAAAAGAAGAAACCAGGTGTGTAATAGTAATTTTTGAGCAGGAATTGGAGCTGCGTGGAAAGTGGCTGACGTGGAAGAAGGTTCTACCGTTGCAATTTTTGGTCTTGGTGCTGTTGGACTTGCGGTATCCTCTTCTTTTTGTGTCTTTTTCAAACATAATAATTTACTAGTTTTTATGACAAAAAAGAAGTATTGCTAATTTCCTTCTATAAAGGGAAAAAACACATGGTAATTAATTAGTTACTTTGCTAATAATGATTTGGTAAAAGGTTGCCGAAGGAGCCAGGCTGCGTGGAGCTGCAAAGATCATCGGTGTTGATCTCAATCCTGATAAATTCGAGCTAGGTAAAGTCGTGTTATCTTTTATATATTAATTGGAGAGTGATTATTAGCTTATGTGTCTTGCTCATATTCACTCTCCCAAAATTTATTGTGACATGACAATCTTTAAATGTGACATGACAAAACTCTTACAAACATTTAATTTTTATATCATTTTATATCACTTGCATATCATTTTATATTAAATTTTATATCATTTTTAGCCCACTAATTATATACACTAAAATAATAGTCCACTAATGGTGATTAAACTTTAAAAAAAAATTGGCACAATAATTACCTTATTAATCAAACTAAAAACAAATTTCTTCTCGTCTTTCTTTCTTTCTTTTTCTCTTTCGTTCTTTCTCCATTTTCTTTATTTTTAACT